AGAAGAGACAGTAGAACCTCTGAAACATTGTAGTGGAGTCCCCGTCTTGGATGATATATTGTTGTGAGCTGCACAATGTAAAATGCAATTTTATCTGGTTTTTATTGTTATGTATGGCATTTGCCTCTTATGTTAGCCGACCTGAGCCCATGTGGAAGGGCGGGATATAACCCTAATAAATAAATAAATAATATCCTTTTCATCCTCCTCCCCTTCTGGCGTGCTCCATCATGAATCCTGCTCTTTAGTAAAACTGTTTAATGTACATGTATATACCCATGTACATACTTATTTGTGTATAAAATGGGTGACTTACATTCTTTTCAATACACCCTCAGCAATGACAGTTTTATTTAAGACTGCATTTGATTAGTGGAGTTTTTTATTGGCAGTCCTAATTGTGATTTTGTGGACTTCTATTAATTTTTTAAATAATTATTGTGTTAATATTTACATTGTAAGCCACCCTGAGTTTCTCAGGGTAGAAAAGCGGCGAATAAACGTTTTAAATAAATAAATAAAATGTATAATATAAAAATAAATACCAGCATTATGATAAAGAATCAGTCACTAAAATATCTAAATTAAAACCACCACAAGTGCATGTACCACACCTGGGAATTGAATTCTGTGTATGGAAATCCAGAGCACATCTGGTCAACTCCTCGTCTTGACCCACGGGGGGACATGAGGACTTTGTAGCCTGTGAATGTAACGTGTAGGAACCCACCGCTTTCCACACTGCGTTAAATGGAGGGGATGAGGATAGTCAGCCTTCTATACCTTCTAACTGCGGGGATGGGGTGAACTACGAGGAGGTTCTGAGAGGAAACTGTGACTCCCCTGTCGACAGACCTCACAGCCCCAGGAAGGCCCTGCTTTGCTGGCTGCGAATTGTTGCTTTTAGGCTGCCTTGTAGAAGAGAAGAAGAGATTGGATTTATACCCTGCCCTTCACTTGGAGTCTCAGAGCGGCTTACAAACTCCTTTCCCTTCCCCTCCCCACAACAGACACCCTGTGAGGCGGGTGGGGCTGAGAGAACTCTGACACAAACTGCTCTTTTTCAAGGACAGCTGTGCCAGAGCTTGTGACTGACCCAAGGTCACATCAGCAGGTGCAAGTGGAGGAGTGGGGAATCAAACCCGGTTCTCCCAGATTAGAGTCCGCGCACTTAACCACTACACCAAACTGGCTCTTGTGATGAGAGGCCAGAGAATAGTGATGCTTGTTTCCCTTCCCTGTCTTGCAGGTATGACTTAAAAGATGATAAGAGCACCTAGTTGCCCCAGTGCCTCCTTTCTGAAACTTCACCGTCCAAGGAGTTGAAGAACTGGCATGAACATCTCCACCATCCTTCACTGCAGGATTTTAAGCTCACCCCCTGCCGGACAGGCTTTTCAGTGTTTTGCTTTTAAGCAATCCTGGTGTTACATTTTTAGAATCTTCTTTTCAGTGTGAAGCTGGTAGGGGTTGAGAAGGGAGTGACGCGTAGGCGATTTTTGAAGGAGGTGGGCAGATTTGCATCCTGCATTCACCCTATGTGCTTCTTTCAACACAGCGAACCACATTCTGCCTTTTTTCTTGACCAAAGAAGAGAGACTTTTCTTTCATCCTTCCATTGAAGACAAAGGTCCTTACAGGCTTGCTGTGAGTCGACTCTTTCAGCAGCCACCGGAGAGGCTACTAAGTGGGCCTTGGGGCTGTGTGTGCTAGCTAGAAAGGTTTAAGAATACCAACACAGAGGGACCAAATATTTCCCCATACTAATAGTGGGTGAATAACTGACTGACTTCCTTTGAAACAAGGGGTCCCATGCCTGAGCAGGGTCACTGGTGTCCCCAAAGGGGACCAAGTAGCAGCTTTTATCTAGAAAGGGAATATTGTCTAGCTTGTGCAAGTGACAGGGATTTTGACCTAGCCCCTCTTGTTAATATGGTTTGAAACTGACACTGGGTCATTTTTTTGAACCAAAGGTTTAAAAAGGAGAGGGTGCAGTGGCCCAGTACTTTTTATTTGCAGTGTCTTTTATATCCCCCCCTCCCGGTCTGTGGGCTCCATGGCTCTAACTCTTATGTGGGGTGTGGTGCCCACGCTCCCAGCATCAGCTCACCGTCCACACCTGCTCTTTCTGTTTCTGACTCCTGTAAAGGGAATTGGTGTGTTTGACTTCTTGTCTCACTGCTTAGTCTGCTGCTGCTGTCTGCAGTATCTGTATTTGTGCCACGTTCAGCTTTTGGGGAATTTTTTAAAGATGAATGTTGCCTGGTGCCTTTTTGCGCCCCAGTCCTAGAGCTGGTGAGTTGGGTGAAAACCTCTTCCTCCTCACCTTAATGTGCCAAGTTTTAGGACTGTGTGCATTCTGTAGCAAGGGAATTCTAGTTTCAAATCAGATTTGCAGGTGTGCAGAGAATTTATCTAACTGTATATGGATTCACTTGCAATATCTGTGTTTTGACTGACTTTGAATATATTGTGCAAGGTGAATGGAAGGAAACTTGTGGGAGGTTGTGGGGAGAGAAGATTTGCTTTGCAGATCCAAAGATCACAATGTTTTATGAGGCCAGGGTTGCTTAAACAGTAGGGTCATCTGGCTGCTGTCATTGCTTTGCTACAATCAACTAGAAACAAAATTTAATGCAGCAGATCTGCAGCTATTTTAGCACTATTATTCCTCATAAAAATCTAGCCATACCCATCTTCAAAAGAAAGATTGTACTATACCTTTATTCAAAAGTCCCATCTGTGCAACTGTCCCTTTTAGCAGTCGTTTTTTACCTGTTTCTTTCAAAGCAACCTCTGTTTTTTGGCTTCTCCCTCTATTTAATCTCTTCCAGTTCCTGAACTAAATTTAATTACCTAATTTCTGCTTCAGGAGGGAGGGGAGTTAGTTACTGGTTTTCTTTATGCAGCCCAAACAATTGCTTATTTCTTTTTCATTATTGCAATTGTACCATCACAATAATAAAAGGGGGGAAAATACTGAATAATTTCTTTGGCTGCACAGAGATAATCAGTAATGAAAGCCCCCCCCCCACCAATACTATAGCTAAGGAAGTCAACAGGCTAATTATGACTCTGAGAAGCAGAAGCCTCTCTAACACATAATCGTAAATGAAACCCCCCCCCCGACCAATACTATAGCTAAGGAAGTCAACAGGCTAATTATGACTCTGAGAAGCAGAAGCCTCTCTAACACAGCAACAATAAGAAAAACCACTGTAACAAGAGGCTAAATAAACAAACTTGATTGTGATTGATTTTATATACCTTGAATTATGACAATTAAGAACTACAAAAGCTTACAATTCCACTGAGGTGTATGTACTGAATTTCAGAGTACATGTCCAGTTTAATTTTCAGTTTGAATGGTGCCCCACATACAAGATTTCAATAATAGATGTAGAGCTACTCCTGGAATGACTGTCACCTTTACTGGTATTTATATAAACTTTGTTGTAACATTGATACTGGTCTCAGTGAAGAAGTTTAGCTAAACGAGGGGGTATGTACCGGAGATCCCCATGTGATGATTCTTCCTTCAATGAATTCTTCCTGGTGATTCATCTCTCGATGTTGATGTTTTTTATAAGTTTACAAAATTGTACTTACCTGCTCTGAAATTGAGTACATAGACCTCAGTTGAACTGTATGCTTTTTGTAGTTAATAATTGTAATTATTCACTATTCAAGGTATATAAAAATCAATCACAGACAAGTATATTTATTTATTTATTCAGCATCTTATTACAGTGGTTATTGTTGATGGCCTCTCTAACACAGGCAAGGAGAAAAATGCCTGGCGACAGTAGCCCAAAGAATCCTCAGGAGTATTTTGTTTGTCCACCCCAGACAGGCCAATTTTGCAATAGCATTTGATGTTTTTTAAAAAAATAAATAAATCACAAATCAGGTCTGGAAAAAAATGGGAGCTGAAAGAGACTCCTTCCAGAGAGCACATGGGCAGCATGGCATTCTCCTCATAGGGCTGGATCCACACTAAATGTTCCATTAGGAACATGGAATTATCCTGCCTCCCTCTTCCCAGTGCAGTCCACTGATCTCCACAAAATGTTGGTCTTGAGGGACAGTGAACCCTGAATAGTGACATGAGGTGGGTCTGTAGTGGGAAAGGACAATTGGTTGAAATTGTCAGTTCTGGGGTTGGATCCTATGAATCCCTTCTGCTAACTTGAATCCTTTGACTCTCTCCTGCTAACTTTTCCTTCAAGGGAGAAAGACTTCCTCCAGTGGCTTCTTCTGATGGAGAAAAGTATTCCTTTGCTGAAGGTAGTCTTTCTCTATTGGACAAAGGCTTGGTGGAAGGAAGTCATAGGATCTGACCCTTACTCTGGACCCAGCGCATTGCCTGAAGTACCTGGGCTTTGGTTCACTCAAGGGTTTTGGGGTTTTTTTGGTTTTTCCAGATGATCCATTTAGTTCTTTGAAGAGAGACTCTAATTGTTTTAACAATTTTAAAAATCATGCCGATAAGCCCTCAGGGAACTAAATCCTGGCCGATGCCTGGCCACAGATTTCTTGCTGCCTTTCCAGAGTGTGCAATCTGAGATGGGTGGACAGGACATCCTTCTGGCCTTTCCACAGTACAGGAAAGGGGGACAGGCATTTCTCTGCAATGCTGCCTGACCTGCTGCTGCTCTTTTCCTGTCCTTTGCTCAACCACCACAGCTGGATCTCCAATCTCCAGCCCCCTCCCCTTTCTCCGATTGCATGCAGTAGCTCCCGAGCTGCCATAGAAGCCAAATCCATTATTTGTTATCTATTTATAAATGATTTTTGATTGCTTGTTTCTGTGCATACGAGTGTCACAGATATTTGAGAGAGCAAAACCTGCTTCTTCTCTGGATCTGGCTCTCCTCCCTCTAGAGCTTGTCAAACTGCAAGTGGGGCCGGGGGGGGGGAAATGTATGCCTGAAAGGAGTTTGGTCACTCTGCTCCCTTCCATGCCAAACCAGGGCTCCAATCTGCGCTACTATTCAAGCAGGCTTTACTGTAGGAATGTGTTCCTGGCACTTGTGCCTCTTGTAGCAGCCACTGTTAACTTGTCATAGCCAATAAAGAGAAGAGGAAAATGTGTCTGTGCTGTAAGATTTGTTTATTCCTTACCTCAGGCAACGAGAACATGGCGAAGAAAACTGCACCCTCTTGCCAATCATTCTGAGATTCTGTCATTCCAAACCTTCCAAGGTTAAATGGTTGCACCAATGAACAATTACATCCAAAGAAAAGAACTGACCAAATTTAATTGACATGAGGTAACACCACCTGACAGGTCAGGTATACAGTACAATCCTGAACAAGAGTTACATCCTTCATAGTCCATTGAAATAAATGACCTTAAAAAGGTGTAACTCTGCCTAGGATGGCACTGTAAAGCAGAAAAAGGTTAAAGCTGTGCTCTGGTAATCCCACTGCTCATTTGTTGTTACTCCAGGACCAGACTGGAGAAATATAATATCCAATGGACAAGCAGACTCTGGATCCAAAATGGATGATTCAAGGCATGTGTCTTTTCTCTGTGTCTTGTTGTGGAACAGTTGCTCCAGTTCACCATCAAAGCTGAACAGCCTAAGATGGGGCAGCAATTCCATACTAAACAATTAAACAGTTTAATGGTGGCTGGGGTATACTGAGCCCCAGATCAATAGAAGAAATGACAAATAATATTTGTTGCTGCTGAAGCCAATCTTTTAATAGGAGCAGCTTGTACTGACCAAGTTAATCTCTGGTCAAACCAACCCCCTAAGTATTTAAAATAGGGGACCTCCTCTATTATTACCATAGATTTGCTACTTATGGTGTACATGAGATTTTTTTTCAAAAAACAACCACCTTGGATTTTTGATACTTAACGTTCAGGTGTTCTTCTAGGCAACAGGAGACAAAAACCTCTATCAGAAAACAACATCAGTCCTGATGTTGTTCTTGATAGGAGAACTGCATCATCAGCAAAAAGCAGAATATAAACTTTAACGTTAGCCATAGATAGAGAATAACAGTCCTGGGTAGAGACAGCAGAAATCATATCATGATGTGAGTTAAACAATAAATGGCCCAACACACACCCCTGACACAATCCCTGCTGTAGGGGAATTACATTAGAAAGTTGTCCATCTAACCCACAATGGACTTAGAATACAGAATCTCAATCAAAGCCAACAGTCAATAGATGTTAATTCTAATTTATACCACAATCGGGCGTGGGGTACGTTATCAAAATCTGCCTTCAAATCCGTGAAGGCAGCAGCAAGGATTCCCCAACTCTTGGCTGTATATTATGTTATGTCCAAAGATGATACTGTACCAGCCCCTCGGCTAAAACCGGCATGTTCCCTTCCCAGGATTTTATTAGTTTCCAACCAGTCCACAAATTGTTAATAAAGGACAGAGCAAAAAGCTTCCTGGCCACTGATAAAAGGCTGGTTGGCCTGTAGTGGATGCCTCCGCTTTGTCTGCCTTCTTATAAACTGGGATTATCATAGCATGTCTCCAAACAGATGGCATAACTCCTGTCGCATTTGTCTGAGCGAATACAGATACCAGTATGTCCTTTCCACCAAGAAGTATTGGCTTTAAAGAGTTTGGGGGGAATTAAATCTACACCAGGGGCCTTCACATTCTTCATTTGAGAAATCAGAAAACTAATTTCAGATGGTCAAATGGCGCAACTCTGGTAATTCAGATGGAATCCTATCACTCTAATAATCATAGTTACTGCAAGTCAGATCTAGCAAGAACATTAACAGGTATGCAATTAAATATGAAATGATAGGTATACAATTAAATATGAAATGAGAATGGGCTCCTAGGATGTAAAACAGAACTAACTTCCAAAATTCACTCAGATTTCTATTATTTCTGGCAACTCTAATTAGCTTTTGTCAATTAGTAAGGCAAGTGGCTTCTTTACTCTTGCATATAGCTTGTCTGTATGCCCCCCAAAAAAACAACAACAGAAAAGCTTGTACTGTAGATGAAGAGCTAGAATGCCTGTATTATATACTGTAAGTGCCTGATGGCAAACTTTTTTTAAACACTTAAATGAGGGGGTTTTGGTAAATTTCAAGGCCATTGGTTTAGAATAAGTGGGCAACAAGTGAGAATAAATTTGCTCTAACTTACAACAGCTGTCATACACTTTATTCTGGATACAAGAATTATTAGGCAAACTTATTCATAGAAGTAAGGGCATATGATCACAAGCAATGGTTTTCCCCACTTCAAGATAGTTTACTGAATCAATCAAATCAGCAGAAATAAGAAAATAATCTGTACTGCTTGCCCCAAAGTTGTTCAAATGGGTAAATTCCCCATGGTCTATTCTCTCCTTTAGGCCATTCAAAATAATTTTCTACTATTTTCTACTATATACAAATGTGGCCATGAGTTTACCAAATAGATTGATTTTATATCTCTGGATAATCTATAAGGATTATTAAAACAGCTTGCTGCTTCCATTAATGCTCCCGGAGACATAGAATGAAAGATTTCTAGGGCAGTGCCAGTACATGCATTAAAATCACCCCAAAAAATAAAAGATGCCCTAGGATGTCTGCAAGCCAAATAATGTACATAGCTGACAAACTGATCCCGAAGAGTGATGGCCGACTACTTCGTTCACTGGTGGGAGGGGGAAAGTAAACATTAATTAAGATCAGTTTTAAGAAGCCTTTCTTTCTTTTTTTGCTTCATCATAAGAATTTTCCAGAGAAAGTCTTCCCCACTTCCATTTTAGCTCTAAAAGTCAACTTCTTCAATAGAGTTAGTGTAGTGTAGCTGTTAGCATGCCAAACTGAGACTTTTGAAATTCTTGTTGCTAGTTACACAATCCAGCCAATCAGGGACCATATAGCAGTTGTGATGACATCAGAATTCCATGGAACTATACTGAACTATATGATAATCCCCCCTCCCCAAAATCAAAATTATAGCAAAGCTTCCTCACACAGACCATTTTGCACACATTATTTTTAGTTGGTTTTTACACCTCACTTTTCACTACCCAAAGGAGTCTTAGAGTGGCTTACAATTGCCTTCCTGT